GGATTAAAATGAGGCCCCTTTTAATTACCCAGTAAAAACACATTACAATTAATGTACTTAAAAGATGTGTTACTGCTGAAAATCTTGGCCATATTTAGATACAGAATTGTCTAATCTTTCTGGCTTGACAAACCAGTTATTCAGAATCCAGACTTCTTCATGACTGCTTTAAAAAAAGTGTAAAAACAAATTGATTATAACAGCAGTATTTCTGGGTTTGATGTATTTTTGAGGGGCTGACACAAAATGTGTGCTTTTGAAAGGTAAGATGTGAATGGGGACTAAAAGTATAATGTTATTTGTTTGGACTATTATAACATTTTCAGTGCTTTGCAACTCTCCTGAGTCGCATCTTCCCTGGGGTCAAACTTCAGCAGCCACAAACCAGTGTGTTGGGAACACAGGAGGAGCTGTGTCTGGTCAGAAATAGCAGTGAGATCACTCCACAGCCTTGCTCGGACCTTGCTGTGTGGAGCCAGGCAGGGGGATTGTCCCTCAGGCTGGGCAGACCCGCCTCTCCCATTAATAATGTTTTGGATTGTTTTCCCACCTCTCTTGTCACCCTTCCATGGGATGGCTGACACCTTTAAAAAAAAAAAAAAAAAAAGAGGGAGAAAAAAGCTCAGCCATCCAAGCCCTGAAACCTTGACCTTGGAAAGAAAAGGGCTGTGCTGAGTTGTGCAAATGGAGTGTGGTGTGCCAGGGGTGACCAGGCTGAGCCAGCTGGGCCGTGAGCTGGGCAGAGCCCCCGCTCTCAGCCTGGGGGGCTGTCCCGGGGGCCAGGACCCCCTCTGTACACAGTGAACAACTGGGCCAGGCTGGGAGGGTGTGCAGTGTCTGCAGTACAAAACTGAAATAATGTTTTCTGCAGGTTGGACAACTAAAAGTACAAATTTTTTTACGAAGCTGCAACCACTGGTGAGGAGCGGTGGAGGAGGCAGTGAGCTCAGATGAGGCAGGAGAACACTATCTGCAGTATTGTCCGAGTCCCAAATACATGGCAGGGTAAATTAACCCATGAGTAAATAAACCCCAAACTGTAGAAATCTTCACATGGCTACAGCAATGTGATTCCCATTTCCATTACGCCTGGAATTTAATGGACTGCTGAAGTTTGACCAAAAGGCATTTCTTGTGTCAAAATGAAAAATTACAGATCAAAAGGGTGACTTTGCAGACAAACATATCGATCTAAAGCCTGGGTGACACAGACTTCCTGGAAGAGAGCCCAGAAGCATGTCTGTGTTTAAAGTCAAATGGCTGTAGCCTTTTACCACTGATGAATAAAAAATGTTTTTGTCTGCATGCCGAGGGCTCGAGCAGAAACAGAAATTACTCGATTTGTTCTGCCGGAGGAGCAGGTACGTGTCTGTGAATATTTATCCATTGGATGCTGCAGAATCCAGTAATTTGAAAAATGACAGGGAGATAGGAAATAAGAATTATTTTTTCCCCTTGAAAACTCTGTTTATGGCACTGTAGGAAAGGCAAAGTGAGACTCCTCATTCTGTGTTCAAGGGGCAGAGTTACTGCTGTCCTCTTCTCCAGAAACATGAGGAGGGGAGCAGTTGTGAAGTTCCTCTGTGAGGATCCCAGTTGTATTTTTGCTTTGGTACGGGAGCAGCAACTCTTCAGAGGCCCCTGAGGTTGCTGCTGTCCTGTGTAATTAGGTACTAATGGAAAGGTCTAGGTGTGCCTCCCTGACCAGGATGGATGGAGGGCCCAGCACAGGAACACTGCTGCTGCTCCTCTGAGAACGAGGTGTAAGGCAGGAGTGGCAGCAGTGGGATTTTGTGAATGAGCTCTGTGGGCACCAGGATTGGAAGTTGGAGTCCTTCCTGCCGTGGAGCAGCGCTCGGTTTCCCAAGGGAACCCGTGAGACAGATTTTAAATGAAAAGTGGTGCTGAATGGCAGCGACTGCTTCTGGGAAGCCCAGAAAATGCCAGCTGACACTCCAGGCAGTGTGTCTGAAAGGAACTGCAATTATGCAGGGAAGGAGGAGCAAGGGGGATGGATGGGAGATTTCTAATCTCTTCTCGTCAGCAGCACTGGGCCTGCTGGGCACAGAAGCCCTGCTCCTTTCCCTGACTCTCTCTCAGGTATTTATTCATGTTCCTGGCTGTAAACTGCATGAAAAAAAAAAAAAAGAGGCTCAGAGCCAGGCCTGGAAGGTTTGTGCACGGGGTTCTCCTTATCTGTGTGAGTAAGCTCTCACATTTACCACAGAGTGAAGTTTGCTGCAGTGAGCAAGCTGTTGCAGGATGAAGAGCAGTAACATGAGTATAGCTTTTATTATTATGATCTTGCTGTAAATTGGAAAAAATTTCTATTGGAAAAAGTTCTCTTGATGAAATTATATGTTTGTAAATGCAGTGCCATGGGAGCAGAGTCAGGTGTTGGATTAATATAGAAATAGGACAAGAGGAAATGGCCTCAAGTTCCACCAGGGAGGGTTTAGATTGGGTATTTGGAAAAATTTCTTCACCAAAAGGATGCCAAGCCTTGGAATGGGCTGCCCAAGGAAGTGGTTGAGTCACCCTCCCTGGAGGGATTTAAAGGATGTGTTGCATAGGGACATGGCTTAGTGGTGGACTTAGCAGTGCTGGGTTAATGGTTGGACTTAAAGGTCTTTTCCCACCTGAACAACCCTGTGGATATTAGGTGACCCTGCTTGAGAAGGGGTGGGTCCAGATGACTTCCAGAGGTCCAGCCTCAGCCATTCCATGAAACTCCTTTGCCTCTGAAGTTTGTACTGAAAGGCCTGGGGCCAAACCTGCCCCTGTACCACCAGCAGTGGCTGCCTCAGGGGGTGTTCCCTGGGACTGTGCCTTGACATCTCATTTGTGGCAGCGGCGATTCAAACTAGTGCTGAGTTGGTACAATCACCCAAGTTAAAGAATTTAAACTGTATATGAATTCAAGGCAAGGACAGCCTAATATAGAATGTAGTGTTTACTGTCTTCGAAGAAGCTGTAATAAACTTGGACAGGGAGCTTAAGCAAGAGATGGAGCAATCAGTCAGCCTTGCAAGTGTGTCAGAGGGTCCTTGGGAGCCCCAGCCTGAGATTTCTCTATGTTATAGCTGGGCACTGTGGCCATCAATTGAACCCAGAGGGTCATAAGAATTTGATGGCATTGTACAGCTTGCACTGTCACAACCTTATTGGAACTGTGAGGATTGTGCATCTGGATCGATGGAATCCTTGTCACTAATTTCACAGGGATTGTAGCCAAGTTCAAACATGTATTTCATCATAGGAAAAGGAAAGCAGGAGTCATGTGAGGCTCTGCTGGTGTAGCTGGGTTTAATGCCTCATTTCATACTCCTGGTGTGTAGAGGGGAGGACCAACGCTGGGGCAGGATCTTTGATTTTAAGAAAGAATCTTGTACAGTCCTGTGATCACTGTCCCCTCTCAGCAGTCACTGCAATGCCTCGGTGCCCGTGCACGGTGAGAAATGAGCTCCAAGCCCGAGCCTGCTCCCTGTGAGACTTGGCTTGAGCTGAATTCCTGACTCCTGTCCTTTCATCACTCCGGGCCCAACTGAAAGAGTACTTGTGAGCTACCAAATATAGAATGTGCACAGCCTATTTCACAACTGGAACTTGCAAATGCTGGAGTGGATTTCATGGACTGAAGCCCCCCAGGGAGGGAACATTACAGTGAATAATGTTAGTGCATTTGTTTAATCCCTGGGGATTGTGGAACATAGGATTAAAGTGGGCTAAGGGGATTTCCCCATTGACAGCTGCTCCGCAGTGCACAAACACACACACACACACACAATTTTTTTATGTGCAACTTGTTCAGACCCAAAGAATTTAAACTGCATATGGCACTGTGCATAACATGACCATTGTTTCCACATCTGGTTACACATATCTGTCTCCCCCAGTAATTGTCTTTAATAGACACAATTGGGGATGAGGTAGTTGTACTAAGAAGAGACATAGCTCTGTGTTTGAACAGGAAACCATTATTTCTGAGCTTAATCACAGCTCGTTAGTCCTGTGATTTTCTCCTCTCCCCCATATACACACAAGCACACGTGCTTTAAGAACGAAGGCCCAATTTTTGGTAGGGCATTCCTCTTGTACTGGCAGTTTGCCAGAGTTTCTTTGGACAGGCAGAGCCTTGGCCAGGGAGCAGAGAACCAGAGCATGTCTGAGCAGTGACAGGAGGCTGGAGCTCACTGGTGTTACGTGGGTGCTCCGAGGTGAACAACCACGTTCTAGTAAATGTCTCAGAGTGGGGACTGCAGTTCTATAAATCCTTAATGAACTTGGCTGTTCGGTGTTCCCGCAGAGATACATGGGGTCAGGCCAGCTCTTTGCAGTACATCCTATTTGCACATTTCAGACCTTTTAATCACAAACTTGATATTCCTATTGTTCTGATTCAGATCTCGCTCTGGGTCTCTGGCATGGATTCATATTTTCAGGTGAAGATGAGGGAATTTCATCCTGTGCCATCAGTGGATTTCAGCTGTTTCTATCACGACACTGTGTTCCAGTTTAACTTCTCTGACAATCCAGTCGCTTTGTCAACAAGGTCTGATGCCGAAATACCAAGCTGTTGGCTACAAGCCACCCTTGCTTACATACTGCTCGGTGCCACACGCTGGAAAGTTAATAAATCAATGGATCTACTTGCAGAGAAAGGTACTGCATGAGCATAGGCAGGATTGAGAGAGAGAAGCTCAGAGTAATGCATGCCTTCAGCTAGACTAAACAGTGTCCACAGGCTCTGTGTCCCACTCAGCAGCAGGCCAGCCTCCCACCCACAGGAGGTCCCCCCTAACTTTGGAGGTTTCACACCAGGCTTCCCCTTTGTGAAACCTTTGTGGAGACCTATAAAGAAGCTGGTTCATGGCTCTTGTAAAAATGTTTTCTTTTTTCCAAAGAGGGCTATTTTCAGAAGCTGTTGTTCCATAGTTGATGTTCAGGGCTATTGTTGGTCAAATGTTATTAATATATTAGCCTTTTGGCTGCCAAACAGCTTGAAACAAACTGGTTATGTTTATTTTTAGAATTGTGTAAGTTGTGATGCTTTACAACTTGATACGCTTGTGATTACATCTGAACTGTATGCAGAGCTAATCCTCTTCCCAGCTCCCATCCAGACAGGGGCTGTAGTCATGCATTCCCAGCACATGGATTCTGCACACCATGGAGAGCAGCCAGCAGGTATTTGTGAGAGGAGATGAAGTCCTAAGACCTGACCTTCTCAGGTACGGAAGTGCCTCCTGCCAGGGGAAGACTTGCCTGGAATATGCCTTATCCAGTTACCACGAAAGGGCTGCCAGTGGAAGTGGGAGCGGGCTGCCAGCAGCTGAGCACATCCCATGGGATCAGGCTCCCTGCACAGGAGCTCCCGCTGGGCGAAAATGTTGTGTGAAAGTCTTGCTCTGCTCCCATGGAAATTACGAGGCGCTTCACATCACTGCCAGTGGGGGCAAGGTGAAGACGAGAGGCAACATGTTTGAGGCCGCTGAAAATAGCGAATTAAACGGTTGGTCGGGTCATCAGCGAAGCCCTGTGCCATGAGCTTCATTAGGATGAAAATTCTCCGCTCCCTGGCTCGTTCTCTTCCTTCCATGCATGTAGGTACATTATTTGCTGTGAGGTTGTTCTGCTCAGAATCGGTCTGTGGTGTTAGAAGCAGCTGTTTGATAGAGCCAAAGAGCAAGAACAGGTTTTTTTAAAAAAAGGAAAAAGAGAGTAAGAGGTTGGCAGATGTAACTTGCAGTGTCTGTAAGAGTAACAGTCTCTTTATTTTTCTAAAATTTTAGGCCTTTTCTTGTTCAACTCAAATGATTTCAACAGCATCCCTTTCCTTCACCAGAGAAAAAGTTAGTCTTTTATACCTTTCTGGGAAGTCTTAATTTCTGCCAGTACTTGCTGGGCATCATCACTGCAGAACTGTTCCAGATGGTTCAAGGAATTCTTCATTTCTGTACATTCTGCCAGTATGTCTTTATTTTCAAAAGGCTTATACAGCTTTGTCCCTCTTTCAAACCTTTTTGCCCATGGTGTATGATTCACTTTGCATTCTACTATCAGTTTTAAACAACATGTTCCTTGGCTCTAAATACTCATCAGGCTTCCAGCCAAGGAACACGTTCTTCTGTGTAGAGGATGGCTTCACAGTGTTGATCGAGAGCAGTTACATGACAGATCAGTTCAAGTTCCCTCTCTGGCATTCCATCCATCCAAGGCAGGTAGAGTCACTTACCACATCTGTAACGATGCTGAGCCCACAGTGGACCCCCATACACGGGGCTGCCTTGTGTGGCTTCGGCACAGACACAGGCAAAAAATTTGGTGTAGATGGCAGAGATGTGCATTTGTGTCCTGCTGAACCCAAAGGTTTAAAAGATAAGGCCTCTGGCTGCTAGCTTTGATTTTTTTTCACACATGAGCACACAATTACATCATGCATGAGCTCACAATTGCGTAATGCATGAACACACAATTGTACTGTGCATGGGTGCACAGGTACCTCATGCATGAGTGTGCTGTTATATCATGCATGAGCACACAGCTACCTCATGCATCAGTGTAGAAGTCTTCCCAAAACAAGCAAAAAACTTTTTAGGGCCTCATAGCATCTTCCTAAAACACGTTTATAACTGAGTGTGTGTTAAAAAACTATACCACCTATGTATAGCTGTGCTTTGTGTCCAGGTGTTCATGGTCATACAGGTGTGCTCACACAGCCTTACTGCAGATGCAGATGAAGAGATGCGGGACACAGGAGGTAGAAGAGGAGGTCCTGTGACACCCCTGTGGTATGGACAAGGTGTCTTTGTGGCCGCTTTGAGGTGTGCAGTGGAAGGGTGGATGGATGGAGAGCAGTGCAGGGAGACGTGTGGGGAGCAGTGCAGAGAGACATGCAGGGAGATGTGCAAGGAGCAGTGCAGGAGCAGTGGAGAGAGATATGCAGGTGCAGTGCAGGGATCAGGGAAGGGATGAGCGCAGGGAGCAGCGCAGGAGCAGCGCAGGGAGCTGCCGGCGGTGAGCACACTCGGTGCATGCAGGGAGGGGTGCGTAGCGGGGGGGTCCCCCCGGCTGACCCCGGGCTGGTCCCCAGGGTTGGTTCCCCCGGTGCCGTCCCGGTGCCGCTCCGCGGCCGGCAGGGGGCGCGCCCTGCCCTCGGTGGGAGCGGGGCTGCCCCGGCGGGAGGAGGCGGCGCAGGGAAGGGCGGGCGCGGCCGGGGCGGCGGGGCCGCGGCTCCGCTCGGGACACAGCGCCGGGCCGGGCCGGCGGGCAGGGCGGCGGGCGGGCAGGGCAGCCCGGCTCAGCCGCCGGAGCCGCCGGGCCGGGCTGCGGCGGGAGCTGCCCGGCGCAGGGGTGGGGACTGGCCGCTTCCTTAAACGGCGCGGGAGCGGCGGGGCGAGCCCGCACCGCCCCGGTGCGCGGGGCCGCGCCGACCCTCCCGGGACGCGGCCGCAACACGTGGAGCGAACTTTTGAGGGACGCGTGTCCGCGCCGGACGGGAGCCCCGCCGCCCGGGACCGCAACGCTGCGCGGAGCAGCTCGTCTCTCTCCGGTTTGATGGCTTTGGGTGTTGGATTTTGGCTTTTTTTTAATTATTATTTTTTTCCTTCTGCTTTTGGGTGGTTTTGATTTTTTCCCCCCCTCTTTCCCCTACTTCTCCTGTGCTGCTCTTGTGTCGGGACACTTCAATCTCGCCGGGGCAAACGCAGCGTTTGAAAAGCCGAGAGAAATGTTGCAACGTCCCTTGTGGCAACGCATTTTATTTATTTTATTTTTTTTTTAATTTTGCTTTTTGCAAGGGCAAAGAGGAAGGGTAGAAAAAATCCCACCGTGATTAATATCGGTTTAAATACCCATCTGCGAGCCGCTGGGCTGCGGGAGGCAGGCGAGGGGAGCGCGGCCGCCCGCCCGCTGCCGCTCCCCGCTCGGCTGTGGCTCAGCCCGAGCCCTTCCTGTGCGGAATCCCGAGGACCTGCGGCTCTGGGCGGGGAAGCGGCCGCGGGGCCCCCGAAGCCCCGTTCCCGTGTCCCCCCCTCACTCAGAGCAGGTAACGGAGGGGGCTCGGGATTTTCTGTCCGTTTGGTGTATTCGCTCCGCTCTCCCCGCGCACGAAGTTCCCGCAGCAGCGGGGTCGGGATCGGCGGTGCCGAGTCACGATGGGCGTCGGGGCCCGGCCCGAGGTGCGGGGCTGGGTCCGGGGCGGCTGCGGGAGCGGGGCCGGGCCGGCTCGCAAGTTCGGGGAGGGGGCGGTGCGGGTCGTGCCTGCCCCGGCCGGGGGGGACGGCCCCGCTCCGGCGGGGTCCCCGGTGGCCCCGGGGCGGGGGCTCTGTGCTGGCGGCGGGCACCGGCCAGAGAAAGGGGCTCAGTCAAAGATAGCGATGTGCAGTGGCCGCCTGCGCCTGATGGGCGAGCTGAGGGCTGGGTCTTTGCGGGCGAGATGAGAGGTTCGTGTCTTCAACTGGCCTACAAAGTCCCAGTTCTCGGCTCCCGGGACCTGCCGGGCGCGCAGAGGGCGAAGACGGAGCGCGGCGGCGGCGCTGCCGCTGCGCGGGGCCGCCCCGGGGGGAGCGGGTCCGGTCCGGTCCGGGGGTTCGGCGGGAGCGGGTCCGGCCCGGCCCGGGGGCTGTGCGGGGGCAGGAGCGGGTCCGGCCCGGCCGAGGGGCTGTGCGGGAGCGGGTCCGGCCCGGCCCGGGGGCTCGGCGGGCGCTGCTCGGGGCGCTGCTCGGGCGGCTTTCGGGGACCGCGGCTCCCCCGGCGCTGGGGCCGGCGGGTGCCCCTGCTCGCCGCGGGCAGAGGACGGAGCTGGTTCTCCGCGAACCGTAAGTGTATTTTGTTTCCTTCCACCTCCGAAAGGGCCTGGAACGTGCGCGTCCCGCCGGTGCTGGCGGCCCGTCCCCACGGCGGCCCGTCCCCGGCTCGCAGGACGCTGTGCCCGGCCCTGCCTCGGCGGGGAGCGAGCGCCGGGTTTCGCTCCCGCAAGACCATGTGCATCCTTCCCTCCGCTTTCACTTTCAGAAAACACATCTGTTTTCTTTTTCCTTTCCTTTTTTTTTTTTTTTTAATAAATCTAGTCACATCCATTCGGAGTGGCCGGGCTCCCGGGAATTCTCCTCTTACTCACCTAAGCGTTTTCACCCCCCACCCTTCCGATGTTCCCTTTTTTTTGTCGGATTTGGATTCGGCACACCACGCGTCTGCAGACACCGGTTTGTGCTCCTTCTTTGGGCACGGTGTATATACAACTCCGGGTGTGTATATTACTCTTGGCTTGTATAGCGTCGTATTTATAACTTCTGTGCCCTTCTGTGTTATGTTACATTGCATTTTAACTTCTTAGAATTATTTTGAGAGTCCTCATAATTTTTTTGATTTACGTAACGATGTTTTTACTCCCCTCTTGTAAAGTCAATGATATTGACCTCCAGTAAGGAAAAAGGCCAAGTGGCAACGCTATTCTCATGGCTAAGGTCTATAAAAGCAAATGGAAAATTAAAATCTTCCTGTGTGTTTTTTTTGAGCCACTTAGAATTTCACTTTCCCTCTGATGTTTGAGTCTACATTCTGTAGGTGTGTATGCAGACTGCATATCATAGAATCACAACTTTTATACTCTGTTCCCATTAAATTTTTGCAAACAACCCCCCTTCTCAGTGCAATTTTCTGTTGCAATTGCCCATAAAAATAACAATATTTACTGTTTTACAATTAGGAAAAAACCACAAATACTATTATAGACCTCTGCCTACTTTTTTCTTCTCCAGCCCCCTGTATCCCAACACTTGTGTGCAGCATGCTAACGTGTATTAATAGCTGTTGCTCTGACACACATCAGGACATACAGACCTTGATAGATCAGAATTGTTTCCCGTGTTCAGTCCCTCAGGTCTGTTTGATTTGAAGGACAGTGGGCGCAGTCAAGGCTTACTTGGGCCTGTTCTCTTCATAAACCTGTTCATAAAGTACTGGTTGGGAGCTTTCTTTGAAATCAAAATGTCAAGGAAAACTTTTTGCACATTTCTTTTCCCCGTATGCCCGTTTTCCCAAAGAACTCGGTCTAGTGGCCAGAAAAAGGAAAAGTATGTGAAAGTTAAGGAGTAAAGGCAAAGATACTGTTACTCTTTTAGGAGAGAACCCGTTAAAACCCGCTCTGCTGGCCTGTTTGCAGCCCTCTTCTCCCTGCAGATCTGTAGCTCTCAACGAAATTAATCTGCAGTGAAATCACAGAAATCTGATTCTAATCATCGGCCCTGGAACGAGTCGGAGCTACAAGAAGACGAGCATAGTGTAAAAATACTTCAGGCACGCGGGGCCGTATCATTAACATTAAAACCCGATGGTGTGAACGGGGGGGCCGGGGAGCAGATTCCTCTGCCTCCTTAGCGTGCTCCTTCCAGCTTCTGGTGCAACTTCTTACGTATCACTGGCAAGCAGCGATTTGTGGAGGTTGGTTGTGTTGCTGGTCAGGCTCCTGGATTAGCTGGTGGGCTAAACCCAAGTTTTCCCTTTCATAGGAGAGTTCCTTAACTATGCTGTGCTTTAGCTCTTGTCAGGTTTAACATAATCTGGATTTTTTATTTTTTTTTTCCTCAGAAACAATTTCATTTCTTCCTGCCTTTAAGTAACTCTGGCAAGTTTTGTTCCCCTGAAACCTATTCTGGAGCACTGTGTAGCATAGCTTGAGTTACTGTCTGTTCATTTGAGTGCATCAGTCAAGAGTCAGTGGAAGCCTGGCTTCTGGAGGGAGTGAGTGCTCAGCATTTTATGGTCAGCAGGACTTGTTAAATGTGTACTTTTGAGCTTCCAACTCCCTAGTCACTTTTAGATTTTTTTTTTCAGATGGCATTTGCCAAGGTGAAAGGACACATTTTTTAAGCAACATTCATCTGTTTGCACTAGTGTGGATGTAGTTGTCTATAGCTGCTAGAACTCTGTTGACAGACTGGCTGATATGAGGAATGTGGGGTTTTTTCTCCATTCAACTACATTATTAGGATTATTTAGATCGTAGCTGCACACCCTGCATTGACAGGCACTTTCCAACTTCTGTCTGTGCCCCAAAGAACATACAGTACAATGCAGACACATTTCTCAGCATCTGTTTTACACTGTGGAGTTTAAACATTCTCTCTGAATTAGAGTTCAGGCTGGAAGGGAACATTCCCTCATGCCCCAAATGGCTTTTTGTGGGTCAAATTACAAAGTAAAAATATTTTATTTTTAAATAATATTGCTCTGAAGGCTGGGCTGGGGGTAGCCCATGGTTTAGCACTTTCCAAATGCTAAAGAAGATGGATCAAGCTTCTGCTGCAAGTTGTGGA